AAATATAATATAAAACTAATATAATATCAATAAAATAATATAAAATAATGTTTAAAAATATCTATAATATTACAACACTATTAATAAAATTGACTATTAATCAATTGATTTAAAAGTAGATGTGGGTTATACTAAATTTAATCCTGTATATTAAACCTTTTAAATACTATGATAAGTCGGGTGTAAAAAAAAAGCCAAAAGATACAATTCTACATTAAATTCTTTCCATCGCTTATTATAAATAGCATACAATCATGCCAAAATTGACTATTATATAAAACAAATGTCACTTGAATTGCAATTGTCATTTTTACCAGTTCAACAAATATATCTGCCAATGCAGTAGTTCGAAATTCTACATTTTTTATAGCTTGTTTTGCTGAGCTGAGAATATTCTGTAATTGCTCTATGTCAATCCAAAATTGACGACATTAATTAGATTTTTTACAGAATTTGCATGACTAAAACTTTGAGGTTCTTGTTCTAAAACCTATTAAAAAATTAAAATTAAAAAATGTAAATAAAATATGGTCATGAAAGTACAATTGTGTTATATGGTCGCATAGAAAAAGAGTTGGTGGTACAATGATATAGCAATAGAAATATATATATATAATATTGTGAAATAGGAGTAAAATGAGATAATATAAAAATTGAATAGTAAAATTTGCAGATTTAATGTTTGTTTCATTATGTAATATAAATTTACAAGAATCTCATACTGTTAACCACTGGGTCTTAGTTGTTGATTTTAAATTTCTACCAAGAGTAAAGGTGTATATAATTTTTTCTCTGAGAGCAGCACTAGCAGAGTAAGAATTTCTAAAAAAACTTATAATTGTTTGACAATTAGATAAACCTTTTTTTACATGAGGTAATTTACAAATACTGCTACAGATAAGCTGGATGTGATGCGCATTGCATCTTATAGGTAAAATGTATAGATATTTCTCTGTAACCTGTTTTTTTGCTGCTATTATTAACATTTCAGTGTTAGAAACTATGGCTATAAATTTTTTAGGCCTAACATTTTCTAATATCTTTATGATTTTTTCAGCATTAAAATTTGCTGTATATGAAAACTTTGAAAAATCTCATAATGAATAAATATACTGTTTCCTTTTATTTGTTATTATAACAAAAGTGTATATGCTTTGTTTCAATGGGCTGCACCAAATATCTATATATAAAGTTAAATTTTTGGTCTTAGATAGCTTATTTTCTACTTTAATTATGATATTTGTCATCTCTGAATCCAAAATTGATGATGCTAATATGGTGCGCTTAGATGGATCATAACTAGGATTTAATATCTTGGTATAATCTTCAAAGAAAAAATTATCAAAGGCTGAAAATAATATATCCGAACACACAATCCATTTAATTAATAATTGGTTGGCTCTTGTTTCTTTAGCCTTATCAATAACTTCTTTTGTGTCATAATAAGTATCCAAACACAACTGAAAATAGTTTGATTTTCTTTTTTGGGGGGTGGCTAATTTAGAAGGTTCACTTTGAAGATCTCAAAGTACTTTAACTCGAACTTCTCTAGGTACTCTTTCTTTATATTTTATTGCAAGATGAGATTTCATTTTCTGAGCTCTTTCTCTAGCCCTTGTATGAGGACAATACCTACAACTCGCCCCTTTATGCTTCTCTAATCCATTATTTATAACGTTAAACTCATCTCATATATTTGATAAGGGTCATCCACTATTATTTGATAACTCAGTTTGTATAGATGATTCAGTTTCGCTAATTAAAAAAGAATCATTTGAGGTTCTATCGCCATTCATATTTTCGTTATTTGCAACATATTCCATTTTTGCAAGTGCTAAAAATATATATATATATATATATATAAAAGAATATAGAAAAAAAATATATATATGTGAAAAAAAACTGATGTAAATGATTTTTTAAAGTGGCACTATCTAACAAATGATTCTTAGTAAAGTTATTCGGATGAGAAAAAAAAACTTTACAATATAACTAGATAATACTTTGTATACTTTACTATATCATGCTTATATTTGCTGGGCAAAACTTCCAAGATTAAACAAACAAGAAAACTTAATATTTTGCAAATATATTATTTATAACTATGCTATTTGTTTAAACAAAGATTATTTAATAAAGTATTTGGGATGAAGTTGGGATTTGAACATAAACAAATTCAAACTAGTAATTTTGGATTTGGGTGGCAAGTATAATTGTACTAAAGTTTAATTATACTGTAATAAATTTCTTACTACGTATAACAAGGCTGGCATATATATAATTGCGTCTTAACTTGTAGTGCACCTACTTTTAGGAACACTAAAAAAATTTCGTTTTAAAAATTAAATGAATAAAAAACCTGGTGAACAAATTAAGTACATAGAAGTTACTGCTAATATGTCAATGCAACCTCAAGCATCACAACAGATTTGTTATTTTTATCAATATATGTAATCTAAAGCATTATTTCTGATTTGTAATCTAAATTTTATCAATCAATAGATTTGAAAATTTGGCATATTGATATAGGTGAAAATTCTTAATGTTGGAATTTAGTATTTATTAAAATAAAAGTGGCACGCATAATAAAAATATTTGAAATCATTAAAAATTAATGATTTATAAGCGATTTTATAAATTATTAATTTTACATTTTACTCTACATAGTACTCTTAGCAATTTCGCAATAACATATACTTAAATTTTACAAACTATTATTATCGTTATCTAATTTTGATAATCATCAAATAAAAAAATTCACCCATATAGCATTTGGGATGAAATTTGGGATTTGGAATTTGGGACTTGGAATGGGATTTGGAATTTAGATGAGATTTGGGATTTGGGGTAGAGTTTGGTATTTGGGATAAGGTTTGGGATTTGGGATTTGGGATGAGATTTGGGATTTAGGATGGGATTTGGAATTTGGGATTGGGATTTGTCCAATTTTGCCATATAAGATTTTTAAATTAAGTAGACAATCCCATTTATTTGGATTTGTCCATGGCTAAATCCCAAATCCCATTAGTTTGCCAACAAGTATAGTCCCCACTACCTGAAGCATAGTATCATTTAATGTTGTTCGAACCTCCACTATCCTAACTACAATAATATCTAATATTGTTTGAATCCCCATTACTCCAAGTACAGTATCAAGTAATGTTGCTCGAATCCCCACTATCCCTGCTAGGTAAAAAGATATATAAAGAGTAGCTTTTACTCTTTTCTGCCAATTCTAAGTTCCTATACTTCAACCTAGACCCTTCTACCTTTACCTCTAACTTGTAATTGTGATATTCTCTCTCTAAGGTAATTTCTACAAGCAAGGTTGTTACTGTGTATTTATTTAATAAAAAGTTAATCTATATACTATTACTATCTCGAACTGTTTGCTTGCTGCTATGTAGTAAAGTGAACTACTACACTTCCACCCCATATATATTTGCAATAGTTAATCACTGTACCAGGTGATCTTGTTACTTGGTTGTATTGTATCAAGAAGACTACAACCCTGTAACATTTTGGTGCCTTCTGGCGGAAAGCTAAAAATTATTCCAGGAAAGAAACAGAAACCTCTCTCAAGGAAACTACCCTAGGAAGCAATTCTCTTTCTAGAAAGGATTTCATTTTGAAAGCAGCAATTGTGAAAAAGCACTTTGAAATTTTGGAATTATTATTTTAGGTATACCTTTACTAACTCAAATTGAATTGAATTAATTGTATTTTGTATTTTGTATTTTGTATTTTGAAATTGAAGAAGTTTATGCTTTTACCTTCTATCTTGAATTTTTGATTTTCTAAAATAATCTTGACTTGATTTTTGATTTTGATTTTTTGATTTTAACATTACTTACTAGCTGATGAATATATTTTGAATTGTTTAAACTTTTAATTAATTACTTAAATTCTTTATTTGCTAGCACTATTATTTTAGATTTATTCTCTCGATTTTTATTATTTTTATTTTATCATTTTATTACTCGTTAGTACTAACCCTTCTCGAAGAAATTTATTTTATAGGAGATTTTCTTACTCGATTTCATTTAGAAAATATTCAAAAACACCAACAGATTCATAGTGAAAACCC